TGAAATTCTCGGCCACACCCAACCGCGGGTCCGACCTCTGCGGTTGGGATCCCGACCGCTGGCCGAGTTGGACCCCGCGGTCATGACCGTGAAGGATACATAGCCGGGGGACCCTGGTGGCCGACTGTTAGGCCACGTTCAAGTTCACAATTGGTATGCAGTAGTAGGAGGATAGGAGTATATTTGCTCAGATTGTGTTGCACAGTCTTGTTTTGTCTGATTTGCTGTTTTTCTTAACTTATTAGTTTTCATTCGTGAGAGTGATTTGTGTAGGGGGGCCTGTTGGTTTCTGGTCCCTGTAGTAATAAATTTTTGTTTGGTTTGTTAGGAGTTGTTGCCCTGAGGGTTGGGTTTATTTGTTTTCTATTCCTTTTTTCCGTTTTTTGTTTTTTTGGTCGTCCCCTTATTTTGGGGTTGGAAATCTCAGTGCAGCGGTATGGAGTTCGCCATTTTCTGCAGCTGGAGCTATTCCAACACCCACACCTATGATTGGTAAGGGTCCCATTCGTTTGGTTACGATCTTCCGGGTTGTTTGTTGAGGATTTCCGGCCTCCGTCTCGTTTCTCTTGTTCTGCTAATAACAATTACCTTTCCTTGTAAAAAAGAAGAAAAAAAGAATGATGATCCTTCTTTATACCTTATCATTCTAAACAGCCATGAGGATAGTCGAGGGATGTGTAATGCGAGGACAACAGTCTGGTGTTGCCCTGGTCTGTTCCTGGGCGCATTCCAAGTTTCTGAACGGCTCCACCTCAGCAGGATCATTGCAGTGCCTGACAGAACAAAAGAAAACAAATGAAATAAATGAAAACTCGTGGGGGGCTGCGCCTTGGGGTATGCGATTTCCACAGGTGGGTGGGCAACAAAGCACCTGCATAGCGGAAGGGGTAATGGTACAGTTCTCAGCCTTTCTACATACATACTGCGCGGAAGGCACACCCATGAACTATTGATGGTATACTTCTCAGCCCTCCTAGTGATGGTTTGTACGTGTCCTCTCCTAAATACAAACTGTGAACTCACCTTCTGCTTAATGGTGTACATGTCAACTGTGTGTGTCGTTACAACTTGGGGTGCCTCGCGTTTCCAGCATCTTATGAATGCGAGGTCTCAACGGACCATCATGTGTTGTCCTGCAGGAGAGAGAGAGAGAGAGAGAGAGAGAGAGAGAGAGAGAGAGAGAGAGAGAGAGAGAGAGAGTACTCTCACCCATCTCAAACCAGCCACCGTACATACATATTGCGTAATGGTGTCGTTCGTTCATGAAGTGATGTGGGTCTTTTTCTTGTTTTTGTTTGTTTGAATGTGAGGTGAGAGAACTGCAATACACACACATCTGTGATGCACAACATCACAGACCGATGTGGAAATGGAGAATGAAAAGAAAGAGCTGCAACAAAACATGTTGCAAATAGTATCTCATCCTTTGCTAGAAAAACGATCATAACAATAGTTCAAAAACAGTTCATCCCTCAACATGTATCTGTTGAAGGTCCAAATCGGCACACGGCGGAAGAACACACCGGATCCACAACCCAGTGACATTTGTCCAAAACTGAGGCAATGACAATTGTCGACAACCACGACGGAGGTCGGCCCTACAAAAACTTAAGTGTCTGACGGAAATCCACAAAAACTACAAACTGAGTATTTGAAAACCACAGACGACACTACAAAAAATAAGACATTGCAGGCATGTCAACGGACGTCACACTGCCAGGCCTATAG